GTTTCTTGGACAAGCCTTGTTCGGGTTCAAAGCGTTTGGCAGAAAGCCAGACTTTGTCCCATACTTTGAATGACACGTCACGTCTGTGTTTGTTAGTCTTGTTGGCTTGTTGTTCTTGTGTTCTTTCAAGGGCTTCGGTTGCTTCTCTGAGGAGTCTGTTCATTGTTGCGATCCATTCATTGAGAGAGGGGCAAGGGGTGAAGGGGCTGAGCTGCGAGGGAAGCAAGAAATCAGAGGGCAAGCGGGGATGGTAGCCAACGTCGAGGTAGAAAGGGGACATGCCAGTGGAGGGGCACACAGAATTGTTGTAGGCAATTTCGGCGGCTGTGAGCAACTGATCCCAATCGTGTTGGTGTGGATGACAATACTTCTGCAGGATTCTTTGGAGTGTATCGTTCATCTTCTCTGTTTGTCCATCGGTCTGTGGGTGGAATGCAGTGCTATACTTGAGCGTGGTTCCGTAGGCCGTGAAGAGGTGTTTCCAGAATTGTGAGAGGTAGTCGTCAATGGTTTTCTGGGGGCGGAAGGTGGCAGCGAGAAGTTTGGCCCATTGGAGGAAGGAGTGACGTGGTTCTCCAGAGGCTCGGCGGTTGCTGGCTTCAGCCATCCACCATTTGGCGGCATTGCCGAGGAGGCGGGAGGTGGCAATGGGGAGCCAATGGGCAAGGGGCATGTGGTGGAGGTGAAAAGAGTTCTGGAGCTGGGTTAGGAAGAGGAAAACGTCCTCGTGGGGGAGGCCGAAGAAGGACATGATTTCGCCGGATCGGAAGGAACGGGGGATTTCCCCGTCGCGGTGAACGATCTGCGAGAAGGTGTTGAAGCTGAGGTTATCGGGGGTGGTGTCGTAGCAGGTGTGGTCGATTTGGTTGTTGTCCTCAAGGAGGTGGTTGGGGGGAAGTTGTGGCATTGCGGGGTAAACCCCCGAGGTGGCTTGGGAATAGGTGGGACGGATGGTGGGGATGGTGGAGGTGGTCATGATGGGTTGGGAGAGGGTTTGGGAGTGCGGGGGGGGGAGAGGGGTGACATGGATGGGCGAGGAATGAGGCGGTGTGCTGGATGCGCCGGATGAGGGAGGAGGTGGAGGGAACGGGACGATGGTGGAGGTTGAAGGGTTGATGGATGTGGTGGTAGAGGTGGTAGAAGTGGAGGAGGTCGGCGGGGGGGTGTTGCCGGAGGCGGCTGTGGAGGAGGGAGTGGTTTGCACTGTGGAGGTTGGAGTGGTTTGCGCTGTGGAGGAGGGAGTGGTTTGCGCTGTGGAGGAGGGAGTGGTTTGCGCGGTGGTGAYGAYCGTGATGGAGGGGATGGTCCCTTCGATCGTGGTGACGCGGTCGCATATGGACGACATGTTGGCCTTTATGTCCTCGAGAGAGACGGTGACGGAGGTTCGGAGGGTGTTGAGTGCGTGGAGGATGGCGGAGAGGTCGAGGGTGGCGGTGTTTGCTGGTGGTTGTTCGCCTGCGAGGTTGCGGGCGATGCTATCAACTGAGTCGGTGCGGATGTCAGACATGTTGATGGAGGATGCGGCCATGTCAAGGGAAGAGGGGGTGGAGGACGTGGCCGGAACGGGTGTGGAGGATGCCGCAGCAGCGGTGGCTGCGGCACGTTGGGAGTTCTTGGTTTGGCGTGGTGGCATGTGGAGGGTGGGGGGGGAATCCCTTATTTATTTATCAATAAATTCAAAAATAAAGATAATCGCCAAGTTTTTTTTTCAAAAAAATAAAAATAAAATAAATAAATAAATATATAAAAATAAAATGCAATAAAGGCTGAACAAAGAGAGAATTAATTTTGAAAAAATAAATACTTATTTAAATTTAAATTTATTTACAAGAAAACGTGNTAATTTTGAAAAAATAAATACTTATTTAAATTTAAATTTATTTACAAGAAAACGTGAAATTTCGAAAGAAAATATTTTTGAATTACGGGGAAAAAAAAAAAAAAAAATTCTGAAAAGAATTAGGAAGAGGAAATCTTTAAAATATTTGGCAAGAATTTTTCAAAGGAAAATGTCGACATTTCAGAAAAAGGATAATTAATTTCGAATAAAGAGATTAATTCAGTTGTGAATTAATTGAATTTAGTCGAAATTAATTGAGGGGTTTAGAATAACATTTTCAAAAGAAAAGTACTTCCGATTGTAAAAAGAGTTTTGATTTTCAACAAAAATTGCGAAAAGAAATTGCGAATTAAAATACTCGAAAAAAGAATTAATTAGAATTATTTTTGAATTTCCAAAAGAAATATCGAAAAATAATTTAATTAGTTCTAACATATTTTCAAAATTTCCGAAAAAATAAAAATAAAAATAAAAAATATTAAGTAGAAATGTTTTGAAAAAGAAATGTTGAAAAAGAAATGTTGAAAAAAAATAAATTAATTCTAAAATATTTTAGAATTTTTGAAGAGAAAAACGAATGAATTGAAAGTAGTTTCGAATTTGAAAGAAATATCGAAAAGGAAAAAAACAAAAAAAATTCTTACGTATTTCGAGTTACGAAAAGGAAAGAGTTTGATTAATTCTAAAATGTTTTCCAAATTACAAAAATTCCGAAAAAGAATTAGGAATGTTTTCGAATTATGAAAAAGAAATGTCGAAAAAGAATTTAATTAATTCTGAAATTTTCRAAAAATTTCGAAAAAAGAATTTATTAAACTGATTTTCGAATTTCGAAGATGAAATGTCTCGAGAGAATGCTTATCCTAGGTATTTTCGAAAATTTCGAAAGAGAAATATTCAGCCTCCTGATGAGTCGGTGAAACTCCGACGAAACAGTTTGTCACAGCCCCTCGTTTGTTGCCCTCTTCTCCCTCTCTGCCTACGGTTTACCGGGCAGTTCTATTTGATGATATATATATATATATATTATGTATATTTGAGAGAGAGAAAAATAAAAAATGTCGAGATGAAACGTTTCAAAATGGAGGTTAGAAGAAAATAATAATAAAGGAATAGACGGGTAACTCGAGGGCGAAGCGATCCTATCTATGATGATGATGATGATGATGATGATGATAGGGGGGGAATGTGGGGCGGGGGGGAAGTGGACTCGGGGGGATCG